TTGATATGATGTACTGTGATTTGATGCTCTAGGGAGCTATAATAATGAGTGTGAAAGTGATGCTTTTAAGAGATGGAGAGAAAATGCTGCTAATAGTTTAGCCTTATGCTGACCGTAGCCATTATAGCGGCACCGCAGCAGTGAGCTCACGCAGCACGCTAAATTATTGGACAGATTTGGAGAAATTGATGCTTGACGCAAGTTGCTTATGTAGCTACTACAGCCATGAGGCTTGCTCAGGATGGTAGTCTGGCAGCAGAAGGCTAAACTATTTGATAAGCCGTATGCCTTTTTTGCTTTGCAGTGTGGGCAGTTGTTGCCAGTACTAGAATAGTAACTTTTTCTGCAGGATATCCCGCCATTGAATCAGGCTTTCTCCATCTGAAGGGACGTGCACACACATCTGCATTTGTAGAAAAGCCAATGGGAACGCCCTCTCTCTGAAATGACCTGTGATTGGAAAAAGTCTCCTGTCACTGACTAGATTTTCTAAAGCCTGAAAACAGAGCCGAGGCATAGGAGTCTGTTTTCTCTTAGACCACTTGAATTACAATAAACTGAAAGGTTATTATGGAATCTTCCCCCAATGATGCCAAAGATATACTGCCTACCGCAGCTTTAAATTGTTCTGCATGAGTTCCCACCTACTGCAGCTCGTGTAGTTCACACTCGTGGGGTCATTTGTTCTCCCAGTGGGAAACCATTTGCCTGAGCACCTTGTCAACAGCAATCAGGGAGTGACCAATGGCCGGGAAGGCAAGGCCCAAGGCCTCCTAATGGGAGTGACAGCAATCTGTGATGTGATACCACGAGCAGTTTGGAAGTCAGAGATGTAGGTATTGATTATATGGTCAAGATCGCATAGTTTTGTTTAGTATGAACACGTTAAACACATGCTTCATTTAATTTCTCTTGGGAGCTTCTGCAATGTGATTTTAAGTGAGAGTTTTAGGGTCTCTCTTTATCTTTTTCAACTTTGTTCCTGAGAAAATGTGTTTTATCCATCATTTTGGCATGGTGGGTTGCTCTAAATACTACAATACCCATGAGCCCCAGCAGCCGTCACGGAGAAGAGGCAGTTGTTATTAAAACGTGGCACCACATTTGCTGAATATAACCAAAGTTCCCCCTGAAATTAAACTGAACTAATCTAAACTGCAGATTATAAAATCATATTTTCTAAGCATCATTTTTTGCTTCCACTTGTCATTAGCGAGTTACGTCACATAACTTTAAGCTATGCGATCTTGCCAAAATCAAAATGCATGTACACAAGCTTGAACCTTTGACACAGTTATTAATATTTTTGGACAGCTTATTTAACCCTAATACTCCAACTGTGAGTCACGATACATTTCCTATGTTGAATGAAAATGAATGGGATTTTTGCCTCTGGAAACCAGGGGCTCCCAAAATACCCCCTCCCTCTTCACAACTCTATAACTGGTTGAGTTATGTTGTCGTGGAGGCGGCCATTGTGTAGGCCTCATGGAATCCTAATGACATCACAGTGATTCCAGGCACTGTGTGTTTAGTGATCATGGGGATCACAGGCCTCAAGTCTGGTTACAGTGGGTGAGAGACAGTGTCTAAAGAGTGATAGACACACACAGAGGCAGAAAAAGTAAGGATTTAGAGTGTGTGCGTGTGTGTCTGTGTGTATGTGTCTGCGTGTGTGTGTGTGGCATGCATGACAATCTGAATTAGAATGGGGATTTCTGGCACAATTTTACCTATTTGCAAGGTGCATGGGGAAATGAAGGCAGCCTTCAAGGTCCAAACTTCGGCAACACACGATGCATAATATTTTGGACAGGTGTAATGGCTGTATGATGAGGTGTTACTACTTGTCAGCACAGTCACTCCACAGTGCACAAATGGCAAACATATGCCTTTATTTGAGAGATTAAAGTAGACAGATGACAGGAAATGAAGGAAGTGAGAAATAAGGAACGACATGCAACAAAGGTCCCCGGCCGGATACAAACTGAGGATTTTGCGGTTCATGGTTGGCACCCTAATCCCTAGGCCTCCAGGGCGCCTCCCGGAGATCTTCTAGACAATAACTGACTATGACACTTGACAGTTACTGAACTTTGAACTGGTTATGAAACATTCCTAATTTAATACTGATGACTATATGACCTACATAAGTAAACAAGACCATCAGCAAGAAGATTAGCTTTTTCTATAAAGTTAATCTTAATGATTGTCATTGCTGCCACTGAGTTGAAATCTCAGATTCAGCAAAATCAGATTAAATCATGCAGGTCCATCAGAAACTCCTTCAGCTCAGACTACAGGGGGCCTCCAACAGGGACCAGCCTGCTATGAACGGACCCAGATCTGGCTTCTTTGCAGCCTTCGACATGCTGCAGTAAAATGAGTGGTTTTCTAAAGGGATTCTGGTGCTTGGAAACACTACCACAGGGACTGCCAAAATTAATTTAAAATGAAAGTTCCTTAACATTAAAAAATAGTATAGAGACATTATTTTATACGGACTGTGCTAAATACAGTCCTTACAGATACAACTTTACCATAAACTATCTTGCTAACAGCTCTGTGAGGTTATTCTTCCTACGTATTTTTCTTAGTTGAAGTATATGATGCAAGTGAAAAGGTACAAAAGGAAAGAATTTAAATCACTGTAAACTATTCTACGTGTAAAATCACAATATGTCGCACATTGGTAGCAGAAAACTATAGAGACATTTGCACTCAGTTGCTCCCTAACCCAACAATGTCAGAGGATGCTAAAGACTGTTTATGTTTGGTGGAATTCTACAAGGGGAGGGAGGGAATTGCCTCTGGTGTACATATCCTTATGTCTGATAATCCTGCCTCATATGTCTCAGCGAGACGCTCTTGACATGGGCGTAATGGTAATTATGGTGATTTACGACTCATTCCTCCAGTTGCTACCATTATTTTTACATGGGCTGTGTGTTGTTGGTTTTTTTCAAAGAAAAGCTGTGAGTGGCTCATCATCATTTTCTCTAATAAAAAGACGCCTCACTTTGATTTGGACCAATTCAACATTATTTGCCCACTTGGAGCACTTCTGTGTGTGTCGGTCTCGCTTGAGCTTGAGCTTGAGCTTGCATGATAAAGGCGGGTTTTTCAGGCGTGTTCGTGTTTGCCTAATACTCACGTGTGTATGTGTTGACACATTATGTATGTGTTTGATTATCGAGTGTGTGTTTACCTTTGCAGGGTGGGGCGAGGGGTCTAAGGGGTAGACGGGTGAGGAGGCGGGTGGTGGTGCTTGGACCTCATCTCCCAGGAAGCTCTCTGTGCTCCAGAAACCTGAGCTTCAGCCTGTTAAGACAATGGGGGGAACATGTGAGACTCTGGCACATGGTGGGTTAGGTTACCTCCTCGCTCTGAACTTTTGGCCCTGGGTGCAAAGCCTCCCCACCCTAATGACTCCTGCACTGCTCCACCTGTCTCCCTATTCTCTGTCCTCCCTTCGTTCGGAACCTCCCATTATCTTGCGTGTACTTGTGCATCTTTCTCGACTCATTTCTGTCAGACACGTTTGTGTCCTTGGCACTGCGACTCTTTATTTCAGTCACGTATACAGTTGTGCGTCCTACTCCTACTCTTTCCCTGTGTCACAGGTCACTATGACGAATGATCTTTTTTGATGAATCGCTCGTCAAGAGAATTCCTCCGCTTTTGTATGTTTGTGTGTTTGCAGTCTGTCTCTCCAGACAAAAGGCTGCCATGGCCCCCGCCATCAGATCTCCATCCATCCACAGTACACAGGTGAACTCCTTCCACCAGCCAGGCAAACCTGACTTTCAAGTCTCCCACCCACACCTATTGGACCGCGGTCCTCTCACCTGTGCAAATATGAAAGCGAGAGATGGAGAGAGGGAGAGTGGAAAGGAGTGAAATGGAAAAATATCCCAGCCTTTGGTTACTGGGTGGGGCGCAGAAAATACCGCACAGCTGAGCAAACCTCCATACCCATCGGACTTCACCTGTACACTTTTCTCTCTCTGTTGTCTCTCTTAATCCATTCTCTCTTTCTGTAACCGGCCCCACAGCGATAGCGATAGTGGGTTAAGGCATTCTTTTATGTCCACTGAATAGAGATTTCCTTTGAGGTTATGGAGTTGATACACTCTCCAACGTCACTTTTGTGCCGTGGTCACAATGTAGAGTGATTTACTGCCTTGGGGGACACATACTCTCTTTAGAAGTGTTCCCGTGTAGGTGTAGGTATTATCTGGATATTATTCAGGAAATCCTTTTATCTAACGATATCCGCAGCAGAGGTTTGGCTTCATTTAAAAATGTACCCTATAATCTTGATCACACTATAGTAAACCAACTTGATGACTGAGGAGCCCGGCTGGTGACGTCGATGGCAACATGTTTGACAGAGGGAAATGAAACTGAATCTCTGAAAGCTTAAATCAAAATAAAAGCTGAAGTGCGTGGACATGTGGAGGGTAAAGCATCTCATATTTTAAAGAGAGAACCACATAAATACATTTAGTACACATTCCTTGAGATGAGTGACTGCTGAAATACAATGTGTTCATCAACGGCATTGCGCCCGGGTGAAATGATGAAGCAAAACAAAGATACCTCACATGCTTGCTCGTTGCTCCTTGGAAGACAAATGTGTAGATATGAATCGCAAACGGAAACGTAGTAAAATCATAAAAATGCATCAATGTGAAACTAACCACCCAGCAAAAAGCAAACAAGAAGTGCATGTCTACAGAGAGACATAACAACTAACTTTTTTGGGTCTGCAAACTTAAAAGTAATGAGCTTTTTTGCTACCTTGCTGCTCCATGCATTATGACAGTACCTCACTATTTAGTTGACTGGACCTGTATGTGGTTTGACAGTGCCAGGAGTGCTTTAGTGATGGTGAAGTATAAGTGAAGCATATCACATGAAATCAGGCAGACTCTCACACCTATTTGCTTTCTGCCTCTCTTCTCTCTGTCCTTCCGCTCTCTCACTCTCCTCTGCAGGTTTGGGCCTGAAAGACGTGCCAGACCTGCTGCCAAAGCATCGGCCTCCACCTCACCCTGCAGACATGGCTGAACACACACGCATGCATACCCACACAAACACGCACACACACACAGTGTAAACATCTCACATTATCTCTCATATGTGTTTTCAAGCAGACTTTACTTCCTCATATTTCCCTACACACCCCCCGTGCATATGTACCCCAGACCTTTTCCTGTCCATACGCACACAAACGCACACATTCTTGAAATCTATCTCTGTCTGTGATGATGGAGAAGTCACACACTTCATGCCTGGTTTCGAGGACGTAGACACGATCGAGCTATGTTCACACGGTCTTCCTCGACACAAACATAAACACACGCTTGCGTTCGGTTTGTCAGTTGTCTCTCAGGCATGCCCTATTTTTAAAACTGTAAGCACACCTACACACATTCTCCCATGCTTGGGCACACCCACGGCATGCTGCAAGGCTGTCCTCATCTCTAAAGAACACCCTGCACAGTTGTAAGAAGGGGAAATTAGTCAGGTGAGGTAAATCTAGACACCTGACACTAGTGGTCTCTTTTTAAAGTTATTTGCACCGCCGCCCCATACTTAATAGTACGGCACCTACTGATTATTGCCTGCTCTCAGCTAGTTTGGTAATTGCGCAGTACATACCTGTCCAGGGTGTAAGCCCATCATGGTACATGGGGCCCCTTTTTTCATTCAGTGTCAGTCATTGCGTGTGATGCACGTGTCCCTCGATTTTAAAGGTCAGTTCATAGAAAAGTGCGTATGTTCAAATGTCCAGCTGGTGTTTATGAAAAGTTCAATCTCAAATAATCAGTAGCCATGATTTTAGACGCTCAAGATAACACTGAAAATGTTCAGGTCACGAAGGTCATTTGGCATGTTCTTAAAGCTGAGGTTATTTTCATGACATCCCAATGAGTCAGACACTCTGTATGTGTTTGGGTGATGGTGACGTATGTTGTAGTAAAGCCTGTAAGTCTGTAACCACAAAAGCATTTCAAATATCACTTCAAGAGTCTTTTGTAGTTATTTTGGGTTGCTTGTTTTGCCAATATTAGTTTGCCCCTTAACTCAAAATCAGAGACATTGCTTATCTTTTTGTCCTATAAGATTTAGGCTCCTTTTGCTCATCATATAAAACTACTCTAAAACACTCACTCTCACTTTATATGTGCATGTAGATGCTGAATGTAATGTCTGTGTATGACAGCGGTGGGTTTTTGGCTTTCATCTAACCGTTATGGACAAACTCTCTGATGGCCTGGATGCTGAACGTTGAGATCTGGGGAAAGGAGAATAATGTATCGGCATTATTCAGAAAGTGGGGGAACACATAAGAAGGATTGTTTCTGCACTGTACTTTTGCTCTGGTTTATGCTCTTAGATGCTTATTTAAAAAAGGAGATGCACTTATGACTTCTGGTGACTAGTAGTTCTCTTGAATACCTATGTTGAATACACTTATTGTACAGTAAGTTGCTTTGGATAGAAGCGTCTGCTAAATGACTGTAATGTCATGTAATGGATAGAAGTAAATGAAGCCTCACAGAGAGATCAAAGTATGTCCAACTTGTTCCGGGGAGAAGCAAACTGGAATGAGGAGTGGCCATAGAGGTTTGTCACACAACTCTGTCTGAGAACAAACTGAAAGACATAAGTGCATTACTGACTCCATATTTGTGTACACATAGCACATTTAGAGGTAAACTACGGCAACATATTGATGCCAAAATGCTAAAAATGCAGCTTGATTTAGATAGTTTATTTTTCCACCATATTGATGTTGCATTGTATTTTTGGTTGCTTTGTAATTTTCCATTTTTGTGCAATCTTTAATGGTTTCTTTAATTATAGTGCCCATGGATTACCCAACCCTTATGAGCCTTAAGGAACATCACATCACAATATATGTATCCTCACATTACCTCCTTTCATTGTTATCTGCACAAAACAAAAAACATAAAGACTATAATAATAATCTGTATTTTCGCATTGTTTGCACAGAATACGAAATATGTGGATTTCTGAATTGCTTATAAATCAATCATGACATTAATTTTGACATTGTGGATTTTGTGTAAGGACAACAACACCTAGAATCAAGGTTTCAAGAAATAAGAATAGGGAAACTTACCTTCCCGGTGCCTACCATTTTCTAATTTCATGCAGTTTACTGGATGAAAAAGAAAAGAAACATCATGTTGCTATTTTATTTCAAAGATGTATATGTGACATAGGTGCAATTATTGATAGTTGATTTGGTAACTTACTCAGAAAGAAGAAAAGTGGTTTTCTGATTGTTAAGGCATTAGTGTTAAAGAGTAAAAATAGCAGCGAAATAACTCATATGAGTTTTAATATTGAACTATTGAGGGGTTAGTGTGTATGACAGACTTACAAATTAGGATCCATTTAAAGCTGCTTTATTTAAAGCCCCCCCCTTTTACAAATCTCCCAGTAGTCTTGAGGTGGTGTTGTGTTGGTTAGAAGGTGGTTGTTGTTGTTATTGATATAGCCACAGGCCTGTGGCTCTTCCTGGGTGACAGTAACAGGAGTTAAAACCTGTAAATCTTCAGGAGACCTCCTTCCTCGCCTCTAATTCCTCATTACCTCACGGTAGGTTGTCCCAGGTGAGATTTAGAAGGCCTGCAGGGCTGCTTCAGTGGAGGAGAGTGTTTTACTTGGTGTGTGTTAACCTGTGTGGTGAGTGGCCGCAGGGAAGGACTGTGGGCCGTGGTTTTTGGCCACATGTATGATCACGGACCACTGGCAGGTAACACTTTAGGAGTTTCCATCCTTGGTTGTATGTCTATTTGTATAAGTGTGTGTGGTTTCACACTCCAGGTTTAAAGATGCTGCACTCTGACTAACCTTTCTAACTACCACAACCTAAAAAATAAATCAGGATGGTTAAAACTTCACATTTGACTGCTTATCTGTTCTCAGTCAGTTCTGTCACAGCTCAGCATATCAGGGCAAGTTTCACAGCTTATCCACTCTCTTAATTCTGCCTAAATGTTTACGGACTAATGAAAGGACCCTGGATTTGCTCATCCTTTCAGCCTACATCAGTGTAACCCAACACCCCTGCAAACTCATCTATCTATTTATCTACCTGGCTGTCTGAGTCTGAACCTGTGTCTTTAAACAAACCCATGAAATCAATGTTGGTTCCCAACACTGTTCAAACAAGAACTTCTTCTGAGCTGGAGCCTGCAGGCAAGAGCCTCATGTCATCTGTTTAGTAGCTCCCACTAGTGGTAAAAAGCAGTAGTTTCAGAGCCAACCTGGGAGGTGATTAGATGGTGTTTCGCTTGTGTGAGTAATGCATTTAATATATAACAAGAGAGCAGTGTCTTGTTTTATTTCAAGAAATTCTAGTTAGAGTAGTTCATCATTTTGAATATACCTGATGCACCGGTTTTACTGCTACAAATGAATTAATAAGTCAAGCCAAAAAACACATTTATTTTTAACATACTTCTTATCTTGCATCACAAAACAAGAATGTAGTTACAAGTTGGTGTAATGACTTTTCCCCTTTCTTCACATGGCTATCCTCTTTGTGAATGCATGTTGTGGTGTTGAAGTGAATCATTCAGCGGTTTCTGTGATCCCCTCTATGGCATTGTGTCTCCAGCGAAAGTATTTACTGATAATTGAGTGATTACCTGTAAAAGATAGCACTCCCGTGGTTCTGTTCAGCTGTGATCCTTCCAGTATGTCTATGGCAGATCAGGTTTTAGCTTGGGAAGAAGCTAAATGCAACAGTTTGGCACACTGTGTGTAAATGTGTGTGAGAGCTACATGTACAGACGTATAACCATTATAACTATCACTAAACTGGCCTCAGAGACTATGAAATCCCAGGAAAGCGTTTAAAGCTAATTTACCAACTCTATCAAGATGATGGTTGGATTTGGAATTGCACAAAATCATACGACAGTAATTTGACATTCCTTTGTGAGTTTCACAATCCCACAGTGAATAGAAAGTTGTAACAGGCACTTTGTGCGTACACTAGTGGCCTCACCCACAATGGCATTTGAAAGACAAACAGCAGTGCATGCTGCTGGCCAGTGCTCCACAGCAGTGAAAGTGTTCTTTTTAAGGTTCGGCAGCCAAAGTTCAGCATAATGTCCGTGTCATTACAGTGTAAAGAAACCTTTGTGAGTCGGCCTTGTCCCTTTCCCGATCTCCTTGGGCTATTCTCTTTCTCTTAAAGATTTTAAACCTGCGCTTCCTCTTCTTTTTATTTCTCTCTTTGATTCTTTATTTCTTCCTTTTCTGCTGTCTCTTTCTCTGTCAATCTTTATGTCTGTCTCTCGGGAATTAAAGACAGTTTTTCAAGTCGGTGAACACATGCATGCTGTATTCATTCGTCCCGTTTATAGTTGTCATTTAGAGATCTCTTCCTAACGTGCCCTCAGTGTAAGGGATGGGGGACAAAATGTCTATATGAAGCTCTGAGTTTGTCAAATCAAATCAAAGTCTTTTTCGAATTAAATTCCCTCACTGTGTCTCCATGGACAGTTTTTCCTCTCTAAGATGCAGTGGAGGAATAATACAAATATACTTTTAAAAACTGTAGCGTTGGAAGATATCTGTTTTATTTGGCTAACTTACACTTCTAAAATCTCATATTAGCTTCAGATAAACTTTTCACTAAACATGCACATTAGGAAGGGTTCTTTCAATAGCCAATATCAACAGGAGGAATGATTACAGCAAGAAAAACCTGTTTCAATGTTTTATTGACACCTGACTTACCTGACAGGACATACTTGAAAATCTGTGAACCCATGTCGTTTAACAAAACAGCTGCTCATTGTTCTTCCTCCTCACTTCTGGCATGGGAAGCCAGCACAGGAGGAAACCTTGCATATCCTCCTGTTTCCAAACAGTCACGTAGCTTACTTTCTTTTCCTCTATCTGTTTTTTTCCTCCAGAAAGTACCAGCTCCAAACTGGGCCTCACACCAGAAACGAGCGGTACAGGCAGGAATATTTGGTTACGGATGCATTTCCATTCGATTGTCCTAAAAGGGGACAAGAAGAAGTAAGCGATATGACTTAAGGGGATCATATTAATGTAACTTACACACACACACATAACACACTCACACACACAATAATCCCACAGGACTTCCTTCCCATTCCCATTAGAAACCACACCCAGGAGGACAGGTAACAGGAGAACACCTTTCACAGGGTCAGATTGGAAGAGGTGGGAAAAACAGGCAAGGTTTCTCTCTGATTAGTTTCACCTCTTCATACCTCTCACTTCTTTTCCTTTCATATTTACTTCACATCTTTTTCCCCCCCTCCACTTTTAAAACTATCTCTCGCTCTTACGAGCCAAGTATCTGATCCATTTTAATACCGGTATTGGCTGATAATTTGAAGTGCCTCATGCATGCCATATACCCAAACTGATCGGCCAGTCACTTTTTTTTCCCCTTCGGCGTTTGCCTGAGAGTTGGCGCTCTCAAAGGGACAGTAATATCCACTGATGTAATGTGTGAGATAGGGATCTTTTGTGGGGTGTGTTATAAATTGTCACCGTAATGCGAGTGCACAGGGAGCTGGGTGGAGGGGGAGGGACAGAGAGAGGGGGGGGGGGGATCAAGCAGTGTCACTGGAATCCACAGTGTTGTGAGAGCCCCATACCTTTCAGCTTCATTAAACCAATTTCACGCCGAGGTGAGCTAAGAGAGGAAGCTCTGAATCTCAGCAGCGGCAACAATGGTGCATTGAAGGGATGAGGCGAAAGTAAATTAGGTACCACTTCACAGACGGCAAATTAAAATCTGAAAGTTGGATAGGAAAAGTTGAGGGTAGATGATTATGTCTTTATTGTGCCCTCCCTCCTCAATCTAGAAAACCCACCCTTCCTTTTAGCAACCACCTTTGCACCCCCCCACAACCCAATCCTCTAAGAAAAAATAATGATCTATTTCTTGTCTGGTAATTGGTTTCTAAGATGCTCCCACTCAAAGACCTGATCTCAAATACCAAGCTGCTTATGGCCCTCCTTTCAGCCACTTAATTTGCTTGAGCTTATCAGTAAGATTTCATATCCAGGAAAATCATATAAATTAAACATTAATGTAGGGCTTATTTCTGTGCCATCATTGACCTCCCACGACCATTGAGCTGCTTTATCGGGTTTGGGACTCAGTGTTTGTCACTCAAACTGATGTGACGGTTTCAACAAACCCTCTTCGGCACACACTGTAGCCCGGCACTTGAGAAGTACTTCGTAAAATATCTTTGGATATACATTATTATACAAGCCCTTAAAAGTAAAGATATTCCTTGTGTTTCCTCTTAGATTTGATCAATTTAAACAGAACTTTTATTGTGTAGAATAACTTTTGTAGCACTACAACAGTGACTTGACAGCTGTGTTGTGATCAT